TTATTGAGGTTGATGATGTAATATATTCAGTTTTGCTAAATTAAGTTTGATGTTTTAGTAGTATCAATGTGTCTTCTTAGTATGTTTGGTTGTATTGGTACTATGTCTTGATTTAGCATCCATGGTTGAAACTGAATAATACCATATGTTTCTAGTTTGCATATATTTTATAAACTGCTTGAACTACTTTACTTATACTGTTTTCCATACATTTCACACTGGGTGTTGAGTTGTCTACTTCAGAAAACATGTGCTGATTAAAATGCAGAATTCATTCAAATCAGTTAGTTGTGTCATAGGCTTTTGAGTCTCTAATTTATTTTTGATTACTACCTTGACTTCAGTTAGTAATTTTGTCACGGAATGTCAAAGGGAGAGTTTGTTAGGTTTTAATTATGTATTGACGATTCTGTAAACAAAAGGAACTTAATTGTAAATGTTGTAAAAAGTCAAGGAGTAATGTGCAATTATGTGAAAATAGGTTTATTAGGTTTAGAGTTTGAGTATGGCAAAAGAAGGAAAATACGGCCCGGATTTTCACTTGGCTGTAGCCATTGATTTGCTCGAGCGTAAAAAACAGGACCTCCAACGCTTGACTGTTGCCCTGCCTTAGTTCAAGTGACAACCTGTCGCTCGACTGTCACTGAGCTCTCGATCGAGCGACAGAGATGTTCGAAAAAAAATTATTTAGTGATTTCAACCTACCTATAAATACCAAAACACATCTGAACGTGATTTTCAAGGTTGATCATTGAGAGAACTTCATCTGAGAGAATACAATCATATTCCCACTTTCAACCTTCATCTTGTGAGTTTATTTTGGTGAGAAAAACATCTATTTCGTAATCCAAATACCAAACTGTTCTCTCCACCACATCGTCGAGTTGCTGAAGATCGAGAGAAGTTGGCTGGAGTTCCAGTCGTTGAAGAACGCGGTGTTCTTCTTGGATCCACATGAAATAAACGATTTCAAAAAGTTGGGACTTGCTACAGGAGAGCACAATACAGGAGAGATTTGGAAACTACAGCTGGGAGTGGTGCATGAGCAATAATCCATGAAAGCTGTTGAAATTGCAGTCAGGAGATTAGATAGTACGTGTTGTCGTCTAGGCTAGTAGACTGTAAGTTACAAATCGTTTATAGCGGATTGTTGACTGAGAAAGTACCCAGAGTTTTTCCCTGTTGGGTTTCTCCGTGATCATACCGTGTGTTGATTTACTACTTCATTTATTGTTTATATAATTTGCGGTATTCAAACATATGATTAATCTGACGTGATTGTTTAACCATCTAGAGATAACAATTGGTGACTTGTTGCTAATTTGTTATAATATTTTTAATTCCACATAATATACCTGTTCACCCCTTCTAGGTATTGTTAGGATCGAACTGCGTAACTTTCACTATCTAATAAGTGTATTTTATACACTTATTCGAAGGCCTAAAATATTGGTATTTGATAATTCTTTTCAGAAAATATGTCCTAAATTATTGTATTTTATGTTATATAAGTAAAACTCAATGATTGAAAGAGAAATTGGAAGAAACAAAAGAAAAATCAAGGAAAATTTGCAAAATCTAAAGTTTGAGGACCAAATTGTAAATATTCAATAGTTGATCTAGACCACAAGACGATACCTTAAAGATTCAAAAAGGAATGAAATATGATCAAAATATTATCAAAATGAATTTTCAATTATATTCCATATGTTTATTCGAATATTAAAACTCATTTTTGGCATAGTAAATGTTCAAATTGAAAAACTTGTAATTCTAGGAAAGTTGTAACACTTTGAGTTATCCTTCAAACAAATTTTGAATCACCTCTATCGGATATCGGGAGTAAATGTTATGACTAAAATACTGTCTACTATGCAGAGAGAGAAAAATCTGTGCACGAAGATAACTTTCATTATTCGATTAGAACTCTTTTGAAAATCAATTGAAGGGGACTTGCAAGAATTCAATCAATTGAAAATTCAAACTTGTCTTTTGGGCAAAGAAGAGAAGGCCGAAGTGGAGATTTATCAAGAAACCAATGAAGAGATTCAAGATTTCAAGATTCATCTCCATCTTCTCAATTTATCAAAAATTCGGGATATATCTTTTCACTGAAATATTATTTCTTTTAATTTCGACATGTTAGGCTAGTATTATACCTTGTTAGGATAAGATAAACCATGGTTATGATATTTTTAGTTTTTAATTAATTATTTTGACTTTAATTTGATTTGATTAGATTTGTAGATGTTTATTATCGTTTTTATCGTTCCTTTGAATTGGTTGATCGTCAATTGAATTGTTAGTGGATTTTATTGTTATTTAGAGAGACAATAAAATTTAAAAATAATATAATAAATATTGTATGGTTCGATAGGTAATAGAGATATACCTCTTGTTTTATATTGTTTCAATAGGTGTTTAAGCACTTGTTAATGCATTTATCATAATTGCATCTTTCATCGAGAGATAAAAGGGTTAGAAGAATATATTTGATCGTTATCAAGAGAGACTTTCAATTAAATTAGGAATATTGACCAACATGAATCATTTCAAATTGTCACTTTAATTGCCACTTTATTCATCATTATATTACTTGACCATGGTCTCGTGCATTTACAGGTTTTCAAATGATCAAGTTTTTTCTATTCTAATACCTAAATTATTAATTAAACTAATGATGAATAGAGTATCGAACCCAAGAGCATGCAAAATTATTTGGTTAGATAGTTTAGCTTTTACCTCAAGATTTGAAATCACCATATTAAATCTACAAACTATCTCAAAGTCACAATACCAAATCAATGTCTACTCTTCCAATGGAAAATTGATGTGTGTGTGTGTGTGTGTGTGTGTGTGTGTGTGTGAAGAACTAAGTAGACAACCATAAATTTACAAGTTGCTTCAATTCTCAACCCTCTATGGTCAAATATATCATTCGACTATCGTATGATTCACACACTACCAAACTTATTCTTTTTACTCTTTTCTTGGTGTGCAATCTAAGGTTGAATTTTTCATTACTATCCTCAACATTTCTAATTCAGGTAAACTCTACTAATTACAAGTCTACACATCACTATCTAATAATTGATACTGAATAATGTCCATCTGGTGGAAATT